AATGGAGTTAAACAGCGACCATTAGGCGGATCTGTGTCGCTATTCTCCCAGTTTGTTTAGTCCAGGTCAGTTTGGCCGCGTCGGTGAAATCGAGCGCATGACGAAGGGGTCTGGAGAGGAGCAGCCATCCCGACTCACAGAGGGATGAACACGACAGTCGTGGCCAAACGGCGCCTCCCTTCTGCTGTCCCAGACGCTGGCAGACATTCACTCCCTTCCCCAGAAACCTGAATCCTGCGAAACAACAATCACATCGCGTGAACTGCTTTTGATGTTTTACTGTCACCTTCAGTATAAAGTTTGCGCAATCACACACCTTTTGTGTCTTCTTGCTCAAATAACGATTTCAAAGACCTCAAACTGGAGTTTAAATATTATCCGCTCTTCGCAGAGCAATGCGGCCGTTTTAAAAAATAACTCCTTACTTGAAGTCATGCCAAATTTTTGTTACCTGTTTTCTCATGTCTTTCATTTTGTGGCTCCTCACAGTCGGTGCTGCCCTGGGCAGAAAGCCGTGCTGATCATATCGAGTACCGCTGAAGCTGTACTTTGGATCGTTTCAGTCCAGCCTCCAGCTCAGAAGATGTCCTGACCGCGACTTCCTGTGACTTTTTACAGAGCAAAAGTACTGATATGTACTCTGATAATGGGCCGGCTTGTCAAAACACTTGATTATTGCCTTTTCATTTGTTGAAATTAGTTATAAACAGTTACAAGTATTTAAAAACTGCTGCGTATAAATTAGAAGATGATATTCGTCAAATGTCACGCTTTGTGCAAACTGCCAGGTCAATTAGTCGCTCCGTTTTTAACGACAGGCACAACTCAGTAAATACTGTGGCTTTATATAAAGAGGCATTTCAAAGCAGTGGTAAAACAGGTTTTGGACTCAATTCATGGTATGTCATCAAATCAAAAGAAACAGTGAAATTTCCGCCCAGTGGCATTGCAGAATTGATTGATGGGCCTCAGTTTTAATCCACATTTCAGATCCATTAAATAGTCCCTCAAAAGGAAACGTCGGGGCAACTCTGATCTCAAAATCTAATGCAGAAAAGAGCAGCTTCTCTGATGTTGTGATAATTTTTAATTGATTGAGTCTTTTTTTGTTTTCACAACCAAAGTGAAAATGTTTTCACATGGTTGGAAACACTGCAGGGTAGTCAGCCGGGTCAGTTTTCAAACTTGACTGGTTCTGCAGTGAATCGGCTGGTTTTGCTGTCAGAGAAAAGCAGGAAGTGTCTCCGTTGTACTTTTCTTTGGAGAAGTTTCTCATCAATCAAAGAGAAATGTGACTCAGCTGCTCATCTTGGTTCTAATGAACTTTACGTCTAATTTGATTCTTTCTTGTTTACCTTGCAGACAATTTAATCCTAAATTTCTTTTGGGGTTTTGTAACGTCGCCCACAGAAACGCCCTGCAGCAAGATTGAGAGCCTTGGCTGTAAGTGGAGTTGGTGCAGCGGATCAAAAGCAAGGTCACAAATGGTATTATTTGGGAAACAAATTATGTATTTTATTAGTTCTGCTTTTGCTTCGCTTTGCTTCCAAGGTGTCTGATTTTTAAAAGTCTTGTAAAGTGAGTTTTGACCAGAAGTTGTCCTCTTTAGACTCTGGTTGCTTTTTCTAATTAGTCCAGTTTATGTGACCATTTGACGTATTCATTCTTGTTTCTAACTGTGACCTATGAACTTTTGAGGCAGGAGACTTTCCTGAACTCAACAACAACAACAACAACAAAAACAGCTTCACTCACTGCGAATCAGTTGAATCTGCCGGTTTCCTTAGATAGAAAACCAGTTTGAACTTGACAGCAGTGGTTGACGATGACCAATTGGTATGTCTGTAATTCAACTGGATCGATTTGTTTTGGAAAAGGACCTTGTGAATTGATTCTATGTGAATAAATAGAACCAAATTGCATATAATACTTTACTGTGAGTGGATCCTTCTGCTGCAGGACGTCATAACAAAGACTCAGTATATTTCCTTTACTTTGTGAATGGAAGACAAACAGGAGATAAAACAGGGTTTGACTCACAGAAAACAATATTTCCGCACCAGTGATTCAGTGATTCCCAAATTACATTTAGCTGAAAATGTGTAGTACAGTGATGAAGGGTACAATGCATCTGTGCACCACTGCATCTCTGTCTTTGCATCGGCACAAAGGCCATATATTCTGTATAAGGGCCTTTTTTAAAGGCCTGGTTTTCTCTTAGCGCGAAAAAAACTTTGGCCAGTTTTAGCTTAAAAAAAATAAATAAATGGATATAAGTGTTACAATTTCATCCTTTAATACATTCACGCAGCACACATTTCTACAATCACATTTATGTTCCCACCAAGAGGAAACATCTGATGAGAAGTTTGGTGCTGAGTGCAAATAGGGGGTGGAGGAAAATCTGTTTACGATATTTATCTTGTATTTAGTTTTGTTTTTAAATCGCATACTCAATCATTCAACAGCGACAGTGAAAGTACCGCGTTACACTGGCTTATGTCACCACGAGCTGCCACATGGTGCGGGTCCTCCCGGTGGAGAAGACCGCCCCCTGCTGCTTGTTTTGTGGAACTGCAACATGTTTTGTTTATTTGGAAACTTGCAGAGGAGAGAAGAGGACCCCCCCAAAAAATATAAAAAATTGTACTCGAATCAGAATGGCTCTACTTCAGCATACTTTTACTGGAGTAAAAGTAAAAAGTAGATGATCTGACTGATATCTGATTTGATATTTGGGATATTGTCACCAGAAAGACAAAAAAAATACAAAGCTGTGTGCAAAATGAAAATGATAAGATGAGTAATTTTAATTAGTTACCGCTCATCTCTGGAAATATCTTTACACGCCTTAAAGCTGCTAAAATTTTACATGCACACGATCTGAAGTCCAGATGCAAATGAAATGAAATATAAAAATCAAACTTAATCCCGGGGGGAAATAATCAAGCATTGGTGTGATTTTAGTAAGCAGATTAATGTGAGTCTTTTAAAAAGTTGGAGAGGTTCCTCAGGGTGAAAGGCTGATTTACATTCTTCCATACAAACGGGTTCAATGTTAGAAGTCTTTGATGTTTTAGCTAAAACAATATGGACATAAACTTGTCATCTTTTCTAGAACAGCTGGTGGGATCCAGAAGTATTCTGGGTGAAATACTTCTTGTTGTAGAGCTCCTTCAGTGACAGACTGCTGCATCCTAAATGCACAAAGGAGCTTTATAGCAGATCCTTCCTCCCAGCACTGTTCAGACTCCAGAACCATCACTGCTCCCAGTGAAAACAGTCCATGCCGGTATTTGTATTGTTATTTGCTCAAGTCTGAGTCACTTCAAGCACCATTTCAACTTGTCCTGATCACCTCCAATTTTTCAGTACTGTTGTTATTTTTCAGAGATTGCAAATTGTCTGTTAGATTCTTAATGGACAAATGCAAATTTAGATTATGTACGTTTAAAAAGAAGTTATCCTCCTCAGTTGCGCATCCGTTGGATGAGAGAGCGACATTTCTGATAACTGCACACTGTCTTTACGTCATGATATTGTCCTTAATGTGCACAACACCATTATTACTGTTCTTAATCCTGTTCATTCCTTTCTTTTCTATTCTAACCCTGTGTTGGGAAGGATCAACATGGTTTTCACATTCATCACTGAATGATGCCACTCTCTATCGACATGAGGCTGCATTGCTTTTTTCCCCCTCACCTCTCTTAACATCCTGAGGAGACAATTATTGCCTTTGTATGTAGATGTCACCCAGTGATTGTTTTGGAACCCTAAGATGCAGCTCTGCTCCAGTTTTCCATGACATATCCTCTCATCTTTCCCCTTTTGAAGAGCCCCTGTCACCTCTTATTTCGCCCCAGGGGAAACAGGAAGCGATGGATCACGAACACGCATCTAATTACCCTAGAAAGTGAAGTATGAAAAAAAAACTAGCTGATTCAAGTTGTAGATTGCTGTTCCTCTGACCATTGAATACTCAAGTAAAGGCTTTTTCTTGTTATTTCTATCTGTGGGTGTGGCACAAGCTGCAAGGATCAGATTTTAAACATGAAAAAACAGGTATCTGTATTTTCTGGGAATCTGGGTGTAGGTTATCACACAGAAACGCCCTGAGCTGGATCTACCTGATGATGATGCACTGAAACAGGATTTAAAAAAAAACTGAGTTAAGGAGAAAGAAGTGGCTTTTGAGAGTAGGACTGCTGTTTTTACACTCTTCTTCCTGTCCACTGAGGTGCTGATGGATGTCAAATTAGAAAGATCAAAGCCATCGTTGGCACTGACTCATTGCTGAGGCTCCAGCTCCTCTGGGGCCCCGGGGCCTCCGCATTCCTTTCTGGTCTGGACCGAGCCGGGGAGGCGCTCCTTGGATCCGGTGGGCGTGTGCTTCTCTTTAAATGCCAGCCGCTCTCAGCTTGCATCTTTCACCAGTCGTGTTTCACCCCTCCTGCAGGCAGCATGGCCTCTGACAGCGCCGCGGCCCCTCTCGGCTCCATCGACAACCCGGTGAAGTTCCAGAACCAGGACTTCGATGCTCTGCTGCAGGAGTGTCTGAAGGATGACAAGCTGTTTGAAGATCCCTCCTTTCCTGCTGAGCAGAAGTCCATTGGGATGCCCAAAGATCCAAATCCAGCGAAGGAGATCAAATGGAAGCGACCCAAGGTGTGACTGCCGTAAATCACTTAATGTTTTTAACAAACCGGCAAATTATTTTTAGCAAATTAACTAATTAATTGAGAGTGTATTTCTAATGTTTTGTCAAGATCTTTTCACATTCAGTTAAATTTGGTGTAAATATTTTTCCCCAAAGTCTCTACTTATCTCCCCGAATCTGTATTTTTGCACTTTTAAAGTCTGTCTTGACTTCTTACTAAGTCATTTGTGGTCTGAGTTGCTGTTGCTGCTTTTCTTAAGGAAATCAGTGCAGATGCCTTGTTTGTGGAGGACACCATTGGGACCACAGATATCTGTCAGGGCCAACTGGGTAAGAGCACCAATCACAACGGATTTCTTAGAAACTAGTGTTGCATAACACCACGGAGGACTTTAATCCATAAATTATGTGCTGAAAGCAGACAGACAGTTGGAGAACATGCAGCTTGCTCTTATTGGCAAAGAAGGAGACAGAAGTATTTATTGGACTGGACCAGTCCTCTGACTTTATTAGCCCTTTTTTCTGTAAACAATTAACAATGATAAAACATCTTTTATGCACAACGTCAAATCGTCTCCATTCGTGGGATTTGTGGAATGAAGAGTTTGGTCTCCAGTCGTGTGTAAATACGTCTAATGACAGACCAATCGCCTCCTGCAGCCTCTTCTTCAAACATGTGGTTTCCTTTAACACTTGCAAAACCAGGATGAGTTTCCAGAGAGTCGCGCAGATGCAGACGGTTCCTGCAGCATCTCTGGCGACAGAACAGATGTTTGCTGTCGGGGAGGAATGTGACATACAGCATGCAAAACCTAAAACACAAAAGCATGCATTCACTTTAGATCAGCACCAGAAGTCTAAAGATGGACTGTGGACTTCCTTTATTCACCAGGTAACTGCTGGCTGCTGGCTGCCCTCTCCGCGCTCACCGTCCATCCGCAGCTCTTTGCTAAGGTGGTTCCCTCCAACCAGAGCCTGACGGATCCGTACGCAGGGATCTTCCATTTCAGGGTGAGTTAAGACTCACTCCCCAACCTCCGGCTTTAAACACACCCTGCTTTTGCTTCGTTGCTCATCCTCAGCTCCAAACCCAGTGCTGGTGACAAACAGGTCAAATTGAAGAAAAACACTGTGAATTATAAAATCAATCACCAAAGATTTTATTACGATTACAAAACTACACCACGACTCAGAGTTCAGCAGTAGATGCTATAGCTGATCCGTCTAGTTATTTATGTTAATGATAATCATATTTAGCACAATAAAAACACCAAACATAATAATAATATTAATAATAACGTATGGTTAATTACTTTCGATATCTACTACTTCTATTGCAAAGGTAACTTATACTTCTATTTACTTAAACTATAACTACTAAAGCAACTTCAGCAATCACCACTACTACTGATAATAATGATACTAATACTAATAATAACAATAATAATAATAATAATAATAATAATAATAATAATAATAATAATAATAATAATAATAAAACCACTATGACAATTTAATTTGAGAGCCTGAAACAACTTCAAATTCAGTTTCATTAATAAAACATAAACACAGTCAGAACGTACGATTATCACCGCAATTCTTAAGCAATGATCAGCAAATTGTTTTATTTTTAATTAAGGACAACAACAACACTGACACAGAGAGTTGATGACAGACAGCCCCTGGATTTAGGGGCAGCATAAAGAACAGAAACAAAACAAAAGTCAAAAAATAAAACAAGTTTAACTGATTAGTGGAAAGGAAATCTCTAGATGGTTTTACTGTCAGACCCTCGAGTTATACTAAAAACACATTTAGCCATGAAAAGAGACAAATTAATTACAGTTCATTATTGGTCATCATCAGGTTGCACAATTGCACAAGTACAATGCACATCACTGTGAATTGTTGAGAAAGAACTTTGACAAAGTCTGAAAAATGAAACAACAAAACTCTCATAGGTGAAGATGAAATGTTTGATTTAGACTTTTTGAGCCAGCATCGGTGCCTACCTAAGCCCATTCAAAGAGCATCCTCCACAATTATCAGCATCCCTGGAAGTTTAAAATAAGATTTAAAGTGGACTTCAAAAATAACGTCTGAAGAGCCGTTCCTTTTTTTTTTACTTTGAAGATAAAGATCGAAATATCATTTACTGTCCCTGGTAGAAAAATATCAATTTCTCCCAAATGCACAAAGAATAGAGCATAACAATTAAGTAGAAAACAAATGCAGATAGATGAAACTATATAACAACACTGTTAAAACAATAAAGAACTCAAACAAACATTAATAAATGACAACAAAAAAAAAATGGTCAAAACACAGACACTTGCCCTCTGACCTCAACCCAGAGTGTTGGCATTCTTGTCTAACATCAGTGATCTACATCAGAACATTTTCCAGGACGGGTTCAAGCTGTAAAAGTGAGGTCTGGTATGAAATCCTAGCGATTATGAAGGAAATGTTTCTCATGTTCAGACCTGTGTAAAGGCAAATCATTGACTTAATAAAGTAAATTAATGCTACTTAGCTGTAGTAATTCAGAGTATGAACATGAAAACCTGACGACAACCTAATGAAACTGTAAACCAATTGTTTTTGTTCCCTTTGAAGTGATCGTCACCATCAGTTCTCAAATTTTCTTAGATTGGGCAGAAAAAGAGTAAAAAGCAGCCATGACGTTCAGCATCGATCAATAGTTTAAGCTATAAGAGATAGTTTAGCTCCACGGAAACAAAATATAAACAACCAGAGATGAGTTGATATTTTTGCACGGTATCAGCAGACTGCTTATTTATAACAATTACGTTTGATTTATGAACAACATAAATCACCTGTTTGCTTCAGGGACCAGATATTTTCAATTTATTAACATGTTATCAGATTTGACTCATGTGATGTCTGCTCATTTGGCTGCCGACACTTTGAACCAAACAGCAGCTTTGAGCAGGCATCAACTCATCTGTGAGCGAAAAGCACAAACCCATATCTGCATCAGCTCATTAGACGCTGTGATTAAAATCAACATTCTCAGGCTCCGACCCGCTCGGATCAATACAACTAATCTCGGCAGACATCTCGCGTTCGCAAAAACACCAGAGGTCCTGCAGAAACCTGCAGAAAGTTGCTGGAAATGTGTTTGAATGCGAATCTCTCTGCTGCTGCTGCTGCTGTCTTATTGAGACGCAGCGACCTGCCAGTAGAGCTTCCCTCAGAGTTTCATCATCCAAACAGGTTTATGTCCCAGCAGTGTGAGTAACACCGTGCAGGACCACACACAACCACTGAAGACCAGTCCAGGCCTGCTCTGAGCTGCTCCCAGAAACCTAGCTGGCACCACGACACACACACACAAAACAAATATCACAACAACGCAGCCGTGACGAGAAAAAATGAAGAAAGCTGTGCCAAAAGATGTCATTATTTTTGTTTTTATGTGCAGAATGGTGTCAGATGGATGCCATTATGTCTTATGCCAGAATGTCTTATTTATCATTTTGATTTGGATCCAGATTGAAAAATGCAACACTAATAAAACCACCAACTGAATTCACTGAGTCAGGATGACTTTCCCCAGACCCTGAACGCCTCACTGGTGCACCTCCAAAAAAAACAAAAGAACTTAGACCCCGACATAAAAAATAAAAGAAACATCTCTTGTACCTGGACCATTCGCATTCAAACACATTTCCAGCAACTTTCTGCAGGTCCTCTGGAGTAACGGACACACACCTGTAGAGTGAGTGTGTGTGAGTGGATTTGAGCCCAGGTACTCCACAAGGCTGTGTGCTCAGCCCACTCATATCGTATGGAAACACTTCCTGCCCGTCTGTAGTGAGTCGGGTTAAAAGACATCATAAAACTGTCACTGAGCCGCTGCTCTGAACTCCAGACGTGGCTCCAGCTCATAAATATTTTTCTTTCTGGTCACAGGTCAAACCTCAGCAGCAAAACTTTCAATTTTGAGTCTTGAACAGCTAATGTGAGTCTTTCTCATTTTTAAATACAAAAAAAAAATTTTTTTTGAAGATGTTTTTTGATCAAGTTGCGCTTGATCAAGAAGTCTCACATTATTTAGCCATTAAGTTAGCTATTTTTAATCTGATTAGTTTTATTAATCCTTCTTTTAACAATCCACAGATCTTGTCCAAAACATGAATGTTTTTGATTTTTGTTGGATATGAAATTTGTTTTTACGCTGAAGCCTTTATTTTCTTAACAAATAAATAATAAACATGTATGCTTATTATACTTATATTCCTATATATATGTGTATATATAATCAAGTTTATTTATACAGCACGTTTCAGCGTCAAAGTGCTTGATGTCAGAAAAATATTGCACAGTCACAAACATAGCATGTTGATGAGTGCAATGTAACAGCATCGTGCTGTGGTGATTTTATTTACTTATATATATTTTTAGAAATGACAGGGAAGCTGATCAGACCAGATGGGAAGATGCACAAATACAGAGCGCCTGGGAAAACTGCCTTGAAACCGTTTTATTCTTGTCAGACGTACTTTAACCCCAAAGAAGTCGGTTGGCCTTTGCAAAATGCAAATTCACAGTAAATGTCAGAGTTTTTCCACAAGCAGTATCCTTCAGCAACTTTGTTTCTCTCAGATACTTTGATGGAAGCAACATGAAGTGAAGGGGCGTCCTTCTCTGACAGATTTCTGACCAATGGGCTGTTTAAACGTGTAAAATATTGCCGTACAAATCGAGGCTTTGAACGCAAAGTTCACGCTCTGCATAATTCCTCCTGACTCATCACATCCGGTCTTCCCCTCCTCTCCTCTCTCTCCCTTTCTCTCTCTCTCTCTCTGTCTCTGTGCAGTTCTGGCAGTATGGCGAGTGGGTGGAGGTGGTGGTGGATGACAGGCTGCCAGTGCGCGAAGGCCGTCTGCTCTTCAGCTACTCTCGCACCCGCAACGAGTTTTGGAGCGCCCTGGTGGAGAAGGCCTATGCCAAGTGAGTTGCCACTAGCAGCATATGTTCCTGTGCTGCAATGACTGTGATCACCCACACACTCTGTGTGTGTGTGTGTGTGTGTGTGTGTGTGTGTGTGTGTGTGTGTGTGTGTGTGTGTGTGTGTGTGTGTGTGTGTGTGTGTGTGTGTGTTAATTCGGCAGTCAAACTCTCAGCCGGTGCAGATAAACGCCTCACCTTCTGTTGCAGGTTGGTGGGCTCCTACGGGAGCCTGAAGGGCGGCAACATCTCGGAGGGCATGGAGGACTTCACAGGAGGCATCGCTTACTCTCTTCCTGTCACATCCCGCACCCCTCCGGTCCTCTGGAGGATCCTGACCGCCGCCCTGTCCAGAGGCAGCCTGCTCAGCTGCTTCATCCAGGTACTCTGAGCGTTTGACTCAGGAGGTTAAGGCGTTTTCCCCGCTGAGAGACTTTTATCTCCCTGAACAGGCCTCCAGCTACAGCGAGGTCGGCAAGGTGACGGCGGACGGGCTGGTAAAGGGCCACGCCTACGCCATCACGGACACAGACAAGGTCAGGAAAACCCAGGGGTCGTGCTGCTGTCTGGGTTTACTTCTGCACAGTTTTCACGTTTCTCCAAGTCCTCTTTTAATCATCTAACTTCCTCCTGACTGAGCTGTTCATTCTGCACCGAAATGTTTGAATTGTAAAATTAAAAGAAAGGAACTTTTAACGTGTTGTTTTCAAAATGAAAGAATATACAGTCATGTCAGATAAACTGGAATATTATAAGAAGGTTCATTTACTTCAGTAAATCCTTCCACTGAATGATGGACATTAATCACACACAGACTGATGTTTTCAAGCTTTTATTTCTGTTGAAAAAAATTTATTTGCACTCACACCTAATGAATACATGATTCAATTTAATTTAATTTTACATCGGACCAATAAAAACAAGAAATAATGCAAAAATTGAGTTTCAATGTGGCAACAGTATCTTTCCACATTTGTGAAAATACTGGCAAAAACAGTTTAAATTTGTTTCCATCATTCAATTGCAATCATCTTAACCTGAACTCTGGTCACCTCACATCCTCAAAGCTCATTTTCTTATTTCTTTTTTTTTCATCTTTGATGTGACTTCTCGAAACATTGC